CCCCTCCCCCATTTCTGATGAAGGGTCTAGGCCCAAAACGTCAGCCTTTCTGCTCCTATGATGCTGCTTGGCCTGCTGTGTTCATCAAGCTCTGCACCTTGTTGTCTCTGTAAAAGGTCATGTTGCATTTGAAGGTGGACAGCTTCAGCATCCGAGGAGTCGCGAATGCCTGATGTTCAGCACCAATCAATCAATCAATCAATCATCGGTGAGCATCCCCATTTCTGACCTTATGATGGAGGGCAGTCATTGATGAAGTGACAGAAGATGGTTCAGTCAAGGGCACGAACCAGAGGAACTCCTGCAGAAATGCCCTGGGAGGCAAGATGACCAACAAGTACAATCATCTTTCTTTGGGCCAGGTATGACTCCATCAAACGGAGAGTTTACTCCCCGATTTCCACTGATTCAAGGTTTACTAGGGATCTTTCATGCCTCACTCAGTGAAATGCAGCCTTGAAGTCAAGGACTATCACTCTTACCTCAACTCTGAAATTTAGCTCTTTTGTCTATGTTTGGACCGAGACTGTGATGAGGTCAGGAGCTGAGTGGCCCTAGCGGAACCAAAAATGGGCGTCACTAAGAAGGTTATTGCTGAGCTGGTATTGCTTGATAGCACTGTTGATGACACCTTCCATCACTTTACTCATGAGCGAGAGTGACTGATAGGGTGGTAATTGGCCAGGTTGGATTTGTCCCTCTGTTTAGATTCAGGACATACCTGCGCAATTTTCTACATTGTCAGGTAAATGCCAGTGTTGTAATTGTACTGAAACAGCATTGTTTGGAACACAATGTTCAGTACTATTGCTTGAATGTTGTCAGGGCCTGTAGCCTTTACAATGTCCAACGATTTCTTGAAAACATGTGGAGTGAATCGATTCCTCTGAAGATCAGTATCTGGAATGCTGAGGTCCACTGGAAGAGGCTGCAATGAATCATCCATTCTGCACTTCTGACTGAAGTTATTGCAAGTGCTTCAGCCACATCTTTTGCTCTGATGTGTTGGGTTCCACCATCATTAAGGACATTGATAATTGTGGAGCCTCCTTTTCCAGTGAGATGTTTAATTGTCCACCACCATTTACAATTGGATGTGACACGACTACAGAGCTTAGATTTGATCCGTTGCTTGAGGAATTTAGATCTGTCTATCACTTGCTGCTTATGCTATGTGGCACACAAGTAGCCCTGTATTGTAACCTCACCAGACTGACATTTCATTTTTAAGTATGCTTGCTGCTACTGCTGGAATTTCCTCTTATATTTTTCATTGAGCCAAGGTTGATCTCCATGCTATATTAATAGTAGAGTGGGGATGTGCCAGACCATGAGGTTGAAGATCATGCTGGAGTACAGTTCTGCTACTGTTGATGGCCCACAGTGTCTCAGGAATGCTCAGAGTTGAGTTACTTGATCTGTCCAAAGTCTCTCATTTAGCATGGTGACAATGGCACACAACATGATGCAAAGTTTTCTCAATGTAAGGATGGGACTTCTTCTCCACAAGGACTGACACTACCATGGACAAATGCATCTGCAGACTGGTGAGGATGAGGTGAAGTGCATTGCCTACCTTACTGGTTCCCTCGCTACATGCTGCAGACCCAGTCCAGCAGCAATGTCCTTTAAGACTCAAGCAGCTCAGTCATTTGTGGTATTCCCAAGTCCATCTTCATGCTGGACACTAGAATCTCCCTTTGAGAGTACTTTCTTCACCTTTGCCACCCTCAGCGTTCCCTCCAAGTGTTGTGGAACCCAAAAGGAGTATTAATTCATCAGTTTATGGGGAGAACTGGTTTGGACAGGCATGTGCGGTCATCAGCAAGAGGTTTCCTTGGCGTGTTTGACTTCATATCATCAGACTTCATGGTGTCCAGAGTCAATGTTGAGGATTGCTCAGACAGTTTCCTCCCGAATATATACCACTGTGCGTCTACCTCTGCTGGGTCTTTGTCGCCATAGCCGGCAAGAAAAGCTTGATTTAACATCACCTTTCTACTTCTTACCCTCACCTCGAAAGAGAGTCCACTGACCAGGGTGGCATGGTGGCTGAGTGATTAGCACTGCTGCCTCAGTGCCAGGGACCTGGGTTCGATTCCACCCTCAGGCCATGCTAAATTGCCCATATAGTATCCAGTGATGTGTGGGTTAGATGGATTAGCCATGGGTACACAGCATTACGTAGATGGGGTAGCATGCTCTTCAGAGGGTTAGTGTGGACTGAATGGCCTACTTCCACACCGTGATTCTAGCATCTCATCAGAATTTTCTATCTTTTCTTTAGAGTGCTCCCTTTTTTTTTTCCCCACCCAGAAAGTGAAAAATGCTAAAGTGAAAGAAAATTCAAGGTCAACTCTGAAGTTTATTTTACAGTTAATCATTACCCAAAAAAAAAGATTAGTTACCTGTAGGCAGGGAATTCATCTGTGATATTGGACTCTTTGGTGTTCCTGGAGCACTCGTTGGCCTTTCCCAGGTTGTCTCTATAATCAAACAGAAAATGTAAGTTCACATTAAAGAGAAATCTGTGAAATATAAATCAGCTCATAAGAGATAGTGAAAGGGCTCATCTCAAGTGCAAAAAATTCTTACAAAAATACTAAAAAAGGGAGATATGATAATCATATTTCAAAGCTTCACCTTACTCTTGTTCATCTAGTTAAACCTGCAGAGATTGCTGGAGATGAAACAAGTTTAGATTTGCGTGGGGCATTATTTACAATAAATTAATCTTTAGAGAATGAAACTTTGGATCAAATAAAAACCTTGGAAACCTTTGAGAGTTTTGTCAAACAAGAGAGTGTTGAAGGGACTCACTTCTGAGAACGTTCACAAGGCTGATTCCGGAGATGAGTGGCCTAACTTTTGAGGAAAGTTTGAGCAAGTTAGGTCTATATTCAGTTTTTGTTTCAAAACGGAGAAATGATTTTATTGAAATCTATCAGGGTCTCGAGACAGACGCCGAGAGGATGTTTCTCTGTGGGCAGTTCTAGAACTAAGGGGCCACACTGTCAAACAAAAGGTACCTCCCATGTAACACAGGCATGAGAAGGATTTGTTTTCTCAGAGGATCATTAGTCTTTAGGGGTGTCTCACCCAGCACATAAATAGATGTTCGGTCACTGACTAAATTCAAGGCTGAGTTAGACACATTTTTGATCAACAAGGGAATCAAGTCATAGAATCATAGAATCCCTACAGTACGGAAGGCGGCCATTCAGCCCATCATCAAGTCTGCACAGACCCTCCAAAGAGCATCCCACACAGACTCACCGCCTCCTACCTTATACCTGCATTTTCCATGGCTAACCCACCCAGCCTGCATATCACTAGACACAATGGGATAATTTAGCACGGCCAACCCGCCTAACCTGCACATCTTTGGACTGTGCGAGGAAACCAGAGCACCCAGAAGAAACCCACACAGACAAGGGGTGACTGTCTGTGGAGTTTGCACAGTTGCCCAAGGCTGAAATTGAACCCAGGTCCCTGCAATTGAGAGGCGGCAATGCTAACCATCGAGCCACAATCCTGCCCCAAGTTGAGGATTATGGAAGATATGCAGGAAAGTGGAATTAAAAATAATAAGATCAGCCACGATCACACTGAATGGTGGAGAAGGTTTTGGAGGCCAAATAGCCTACATCTGTTCCTGTTTCCTATCTTCTTACTTACTGGACATTTGCTTTCATCTTGTAGATTATTACTTCTTTCATTGTCAGTCTTCTGTTCTCTCTTTCAAAGACTCACTAATAATCTAAATATTGCTCCATAGCAATGGTGACTTGGCAGCGCTAATGCCAATGTTGCCATTTTCATGCAAACTTTGGTGCATAGCTATTTTGCTCAATTCAGAAGAGATTCATAATCAACTATTTCTAGCTTGAGAAGCCCCATTCCACAAGCATGGTGCGAGGTGAGCAGGCAGATTCCACGAACTATGACAACCCATAGCAGGTTGGACCAACAATGTCATCATCATTCTGAATCATCTACTGATCATCCAGCTAACTACTCCACAATCAACCATTTGTAAAGTAGTCTCTCCTGTACCTAACTCATCACATTTATGCCATTCCTAACCGCCATGGATAAACAATGAGAACTGTTCATTTTTGCCTGGTCATAGAAAAAGGTCAATTATATTTTCAGCACTTGGATTTACCTAGTTGTGTATCACATTCTACCAGTCCCTGTCCCAACGTTTTACATTGTATCTAAGACTTAATACTTGCTTTTGAAATGCATGTACTGTTCTGCCAAAAAAGTGCTGAGGGACCACAGGGCTGGAATAGTGTAAACTCAAAACATGCACTCCCAACTAGTTTTCATTTAATCTAGCCTTATTTTCCCCAAATGATAGCTTGAAGGAAAAAATGTATTCTGGGATCGGAAACCTTAAATGGCATGATCTACACTAATGTGCTGCTACATTATGCTAGGAAAAATCAATGTAATGAGGCTTTAGAGCACAGGCGCACACTGTCAGTTTTGATATGAATTACATTCTTGAGTTTGTCAAATTTATACCAGTATACATTAGAATGGGTTGAAGTGTTTCCCTTTCCACCACGCTACATATAATTAGTGTCATGGTGTTCATTATATCCAGTAGCAAAACGGTGATACATTGACACAAATTGACTTAATGAAACAGAATTTTAAAAACTAGATCTTTGCAACACTTACTTCTGAACTAACCAGAATTAAAATGGAATTTGCCTTCCCTTATCCAACGTCAAAATGGGGAAATGGATACTAATTACAAAGGGATAACTTTAAGCTTGCAAACCCACAGAATTGGGTAAAATGTTGGTTTCATTCCCTATCCAACATAAATACTAACTGGTTTCTGTAAAGTGCAAAATGCATATTGGACCTAACAATTCCAATGGATGGGTTAGGTTTAAAATGTCCCCAGCTTAATCAATGGAAGTTAAGTGAGATAGTTTAACCTGGTAACAAGGCAGGATACAGGGGTGTTATTGTCTGTGCTTATTGAATTATACATGGTCTAAACATATCTAACTGTGCATGACCAGAAATAGCTGGAAACACCTGCTCTTCAGCATTCTGTACAATGGTTGACATTATGTTGTTGTTAATCAAGGGTGATCAAACAAAGTGAGTGCAAGCCCTTTGGATCATATATTTAACGAGCAGAGAATTCTTTCACGGATTATATATTAAACTAATGGAGAATTTGCTCATGTTTTTAATTCCATCTAGTGATCGGAGCTTCTTGGAGCTAAGCAAAAGACTGCTTCATTCAAAGATTCTACTCTTTATTAAGCTGCATTTCCAAAAGGATAGTGCAATTTTATTGCTAGTTCATGTGCTCTGAGTATTTATTATCTATATTATCCAATCTACGAATGCCAATTTAGATGGTGGAAGTCGGTTCACCGAATTTCTCCAAATATTCCTTGTCGAGGCAGTCATCATTGCTTACGAATGTTAGGTGATTCAGGGTCAGACTGTTCTCCTGGACAAGTCTCCTTTGAACTGATAGATGGGACAGGAAATAGTCAGAATTTTTCCACATTGAACTGGGTTGGGCTTTTAATCCAGTTTTTCATGTCTCCCAGTATGGTAGGGATTGTGTATACATGTTATTATATATGGAGTATTTTTGACAGAGCAAAGGATTTTTACAACATTCTTCAAATAGTTATATCTCACACAAAAGCATGGATAAAACAAAATGTGGTTTGCTTATTAAAATCCTTCCATTCAGGGAATACAACACATAACAATGGGGGAAAGAAAATTGGAAATCCTCTAATCATTCCTCTCACAAAAAAATACTCAGAGCTAAAGAATACTGTATATTTTTCAAAATAGTATAAAGCACCACAATCACCAAATACAGGAGGAAGAATCTGAATAAAAGATGCACAGAATCCATGGCCTGCTGGACTGCTTAGTATCCGCTGGGCAATTTAACCAGGAATTCCATATCCTGTTTTCATTTGCCATCCACACAAATCTATTAGATTTCACTCCTTTGGTCTTTCATCTCCGTAGCCCAGAGCTGTCCCTTCCCTCAGCTCATAAATGGAGTTGTCACATGCCTGGTCTAAAGACCTGTGGTTCACAGAAAGGAAGGTATTTAAAAACAATGTCATTATTTCCCCTTATCTACAGTTTGGTATAGTTGGGTACAAGAATACGGGACTGGGTATGTCAAAGATTGAACAGTATGGGAAGACAAGGGTACCTGATCACAGGAAGTTCTTTACAGATATCCATAAAAAAATTGCCCATCGAACTCTTGCCGCCTTTGAGCGAGCATGAGTTACACCAAAGCTCCAGAAATAAACCCTGAATCTTGCCGGTTTTAACAGTCCCAGGTGGGACTTATCATCTTAACAGTAACAGCTCCAGGTGGACCTGCAGATATTTTAGGCCATTCCCGTCTTTAGCCTGGGACCAGCTACTGATGTGTCTGGCCCGTCCACACTAGCGATCCTGTCCCTGCAATTTGGGTTAGGATTTACTTTGAGCAGTCATTAACTTCTCTTCACCTTCCCTCCTGTACGGTTAGGGATGCAGCGAGGCATGGAGCCTGTTCCTCCCCATATTCAGGCTAGGTTCAAAAGTGGTAGTGTTTTCAAGAGGAGAATGCTGCTACTTACTAAGGTGAGAATGCCCAGCAGATCTCCTAACAATTGGGCAGATAACTGGTGGCTGATGGGCTTTCTGCCACAATTCACCAAGGTTCCTCCGACAGGAACATCCAAGCCCAGGACCTCTACCTCTACAAGAACAAGGGTCGCAGAGACATAGCAACACCACTAACTACAAGTTCCCCTCCAACCCCACTCATTATTCTGACTTGCATCACTGTCGCTGTCCCTTCACTGTTACCATAGTATAATTCTGGAACTCCCTTTCTTACACCAAAAGGAGTGGATAACTCAAGTAGACTCACCACTACCATCTTATGTGAGGCAATGAGTGCTGGCTTAGCTTTGAACACCCATCATCCCTGTACCCAAGAAAACACATGCAGTGTGCTTTGATGACTACCGCCCAATAGCTCTGACTTCAATAATTATGAAGTGCTTAGAGGGGCTAGTCATGGCCCACATCAATTCCAGTCTCTCAACCTGCCTCAATCCACTATAGTTTGCCTACTGACATAACAGATCCACAGAGGAGGTCATATCCCTAGCCCTGCACTCATCCCTGGAACATCTGGACAAAGACACCTACGTTAGACTCCTGCTCGTTGACTACAGCTCTGCCTTCAACACCATTATCCCCCATAGATTGATTTCAAAATGCACGACCTTGGTCTCTGCTCTGCCCTATGCAACTGGGTCCTCAGCTTTCTGATCCACAGGCTGCAATCAGTGAAGATAGATTACTATACCGCCTCCACAATGACACTCAACACTGGACACCCCACCCCCCACCCCGAGGATGCATCCTCCACCGCCTACTGTACTCCCATGACTGTGTTGCAAAATTTCGAACA